CCTGCCGCGGGCCCCCGCGCCCGCGGCCCCCCTGTCCCTCCGAGCGCTTCTTGGACAAGGCGACAGCTTCGGAGAGGCATTGATATCTTTCGCTTTCGCTTAGTTCTTGGCGCTGTTTACTTCTGGTTGATATTCTAGCATTGGCGGAAGTAATGAATTCGTCTATAGACTGTTCGGTTTAAGCTGACTCGGGCACTGTCGGCTGTAGCTACAATCGTGTAGCTACAAACAGGGACGTAAACGGACGAACTTTCCGGACGACGCCCGATCGATCATCATTCAGAAAGTACGTCCACGTTTCTCTGATTCATTCGGAAAAGTATGGAAGCTCGGCGCCTGCGAGCTTTGGGGTAGGCCGGCCCGCAATACACGCGTGTACTGCACGCGACGATGTTGCCTACCTACCAGGCGCCATGTGGGCTTGCAGAGGTGCTGAAGATGACAGTTTCGTCACGACGAATGACGGACGTACTATCCGGATGACCCCTCTCACACAGGGTGTATCCAAGCTGTACTGCACTTTAAATCCAAGCATACGCCGATTTTTTTTTATGTGAATAGTGGTGAGCTGATTTTATTTTTTGAGTGAACACAGTTAAAGCCTTACGAAGCAAAATGCCAATTTCTTCGTGCCTACGAAGGATTTGGTACCTACGGAGCTTCCAAATCCCTCGTACCTGCGAGGGATATGCCATTTTTCTTCGTAAGGCTTCAACAGTGAAGTATCCCTATGGGTGTAACAGCCACTGCCCCTCTTGCTTCGCAGCGCCCTACGCGTCCGCCCGCTCGCGCTGGTGGGCCACGCCGCCGTGTTCCTGGCGGCCGTGTTCACCATGGTGGTGGTGGCGGGCCGCGGCGCGCTCCGCCCCTTCTGCGGCGAGGACGCCCGCCTGCTGGCGCTCTGGGCCGACCTGGGCGCCCCCCGCTACGGCTACCAGCTCGCGCTTCTGGTGCTGCGCGCCCTGCCCGCCGGCGCCGTCCTGGCCGTGGGCGCCAGCATGGCGCTGCACCACTGGCACCGGGTGTTCGCCGAGGCCATGCGCTTCCGCGCTCGCGCGTTCACAAGGGTAAGCAGAGACGTTACACGTAAAAAAAAAGAATTAGCTAATTTAGCAAATGCATTCGCTAATATGGCCTTAGATTAGAATATTAGCTCTTCTAGCTAATTCTTAGCTAAGAGAGCTAACATATTAGCTTGCACAGGTAGTTGCTTTATTTTGTAGACAATTAACTGCCATGGCTAGCTCTTTAGCTCTCTTGGCTAATATAATTACCTAGGGGAGCTAATATTCTAATCTGAGGCCATATAAGGGAATGCATTAGCTGATTTAGCTTGTTCTTTCTTTCGTGTAGCCAGCAGAAATAATCGAAGGTGCCACTTCCACAACGTTTGAAAAGTTAAAACGTTATTATACCGCAGGCCTGGTGGAATGCCGCCTGTTACGCGGAATATTTTCGTGATTGGAATCAAATTGTCAAGGCAAGTTTCGCTATTGAGACTGCTGGTAACTTTGTTACCATTTTAAGGCATTGCGGCTGTTTGTTTTGAATGACTACTGATATATTTAAATCGTCATCAAAAGGCGTGGCTCAACAAGTACGTCTTCAAAGAGATGCTGACTCTCGGCTTTAGTTCAATGACGTCTAAACTCGCAACTGTGGCGGTCTCAGCTGTCTGGCATGAATACATCGTTGCCGCCAGTTTGGGGTACTTCCTTCCATATTTCTTCAGCTTTTACGTCATTAGTGCCGGTAAAGTAAACCATCGGAAATACTTCGAGTACTCACTTTAAACTGATTTAATAATTAGTCTATGTTCTAGTGATCGTCCTTATTGAGCCTCCTGGGTTACAAAAGAAACCATTTGGCAATCTTTTTGTGATACTGACACTGTCGGGTGGCATAGCTTCTATTTTATCAATTTACTTCATGGAATCCACTGCAAGGCAAAATTGCCCTCAAATCGTGGTGAGAATGAATCGTTAACCCAAAAGTTAGTGTCTGTGTTCTTTTCTGGCTGAAGCCCGCCCATTATTCGTGCTTTACGTTTCAGGGTGCACCCTGGGACTTTTTTGTTCCAAGATCAGTAATATGTGAAGAGCCTTTCAAAAACTGCACATTTCTTTAACACTCGCCTTCGCCAGCGTTGGCATAAACCTGCCATATGGTCCAACTCTAAAATAAAATGTAATTGCTCCTAAGTTCCTAAGTATTTTTGTTTATTCAATGTTATTATGAAATATCACAGCTTTGTTTAGTAATACACATGTATCAGTGTTTTGGCCATCATACATTGGCGTTTTTCATGCTCGATCAGTCACTTTGAATCGCAACGGATCAGCAAAGACAAGAACAACCTGCATTTTGAGTGCAGCTGGAGGATTGTTCCACTCTAGATTGAAGTTGCGAAAAACCTGTCGAAGCCGAGGAAATGTTTGATCAATATTCCGTACATAGATCATATGTAGATGACACACTCTTCATATATACATATACACACCTTAGCCACGATTGTCTCGATCTCTAGGTCAGCAAATCTTCTACCTACGCACATGCGCGGTCCAAATCCAAAAGGAAGGTAGGCAAACGGATTTTTGCATTTTAGATCGGGTGCACCTGGGAGCCAACGTTCAGGCAAAAACTCTTTCGCTCGTGGGAAGTATTTTTCGTTCCTTCCTAGAAAGTAATTTGGTGTGTTCAGCATAGTCTGTAAACCAAATCAACAGTATTTATTTTGTGGCCATGAAGAGAGCACGAGTTTTACAAATTAAACTTGACTTACGCCAGCTGGAATTTGGTAGCCACCGAGAACCAGGTCTTTGACAGAAGTGCGACTGTTGCCAATAATAATTGGCATAATTCGCATGGTTTCCTTGATGCAAGCCCGCATATACCTGTAGGAAAAGCAGAAAAGCCAAAATGTATTCACTCTACGATCCACGTGGCAGACGATCAAACAGTATATCATCTTTGCTATCATACTTAAGTTCTTCTAGCTGTTCCTTTGTAAGAGGTTTTCTTTTGTCTGGAATAACTCTGTCGAGTTCCTCCTGAAGTGTCTTTTGCTTTTCTGGATTAGTAGCTAATTGGTACAAGACTGTGGCTACAACAGTTGATGTCTGAATGAAACGAAATAAAATATTTCAGTTTATATCACTCGCGACTTCGTAAACGCTTTACGTCAACATCCCAATGAGAAAAGAAAGTCAAAGCCATGTCGAAACCAAAAGACGTCGATTACCGCTTTTACGTTGTTACACTCTGGGACATTTCAAGATAGGCACAACTTACCGTATCAATACCTGCGAGCATCATATCTAGTGCCATTGCAACAGCTCTGTCTGGATCTTCCGTCTTTATCAATAGATTTTCGAGAACACTATAGCTCCGGTCTTTTAATTCCGTTGCTGGGACATTTTTCAGCCTCTCCATGCCTGCTTTGACATATTTTGATGATATCCTTTACAAAAATGTAATCACACGCAAATCAAAATATGGCCTTTGTTTTAGTCGGTTTCACTAGTTAACTAATCTGTTTATGTTATCTTACTCTGTGATACCATCCATTGCCTTTGTAAATTTTCTGAAATGGGGCGTTGATACAAATTTCCAAGGTGATGGCAAGACGTCGAGCTTGTACATACTGTCAAAGACAGTGTGCGAACATTGTACCATTTTTGCGCCATCCGGGTTTGGGTTATCACTGATACACCCTAGTTTCGCATCCAGGGCGACAAGGGTGATAGCTGCACAAAGGGATAAAAACAACTTTCTTAAAAGAGAACCAATACGCAAGAGATCAAACCAAACACAAATAAAATACAGGTTTTTACTGCAGTATAATACTACTCGCAACTTACATTCAAGCGCCCATTTTGCTAGTTCATCTGAAAAATTAGCTGGCATTAGTGAGTTTTCATCCCGAATCCGCCTCATTCTAAAGAGAAAAAAAAAGTTGTGTATGTGATATACTGCAATTTTATAGTATATAGCAGCTAACACACTTTTTAAGTTCATACCTGTCAATGATTTCCTGGGTCACACTGTCGATTGGCTCGACATATTGCTTTATATTTCTTGGCTGCATCATCACCTGATTCACGGCTGTCCGAAACTCTTGCCATTCTTTTCCTTGACTTTACCAAACAAAGTGTTCACTTAACTGTTTATGTCGGAACGGGCAACATAATGTGCAAATTTACTGCATCGCATACTTACGATGACACAAGACTCATAGGAAGTCCCTTTCTTCGATTTTCGAAGTAGTATTGCAACGAATCAGCCCCTTGGCGAATTGGCCAGGTACCTTCGTTCCGCAGTGCCTGAAAATTAACGTGTTAAATGCTTGAAAATGATTCTAAGCACCGTAAATCAGAAATTGACAACTTTTCACCTACTATTTCTATTTCTTTTGGGTCACTGAGGAGTACAATATCTGGTCGCCCCATAATGCCGGCCATTTTTGCCACTGGACCGTAGGAAGCAAGTGTGTCAAACATGTCTTCTAATTTTACTTTGTAGAACTCTCCTGTAATCATAGTTAACGAATGACAGTTTCCTTTTTTACCTTCAGGCAGGTGCCGGCCACCGTGCGTAGCCAGTTCCTATTCGTCTTAAAATCGTTTCGGAATGGACATCACATCAATGTACGGCCTCTTTCTACTCAGACTAGGACTTCCAAGTCCGAATCAGTGTCACTGCCCCTGCAAAGCAACTAGCCTCAAATAGACAGGGTGGTCCACAGACCACTATTTTGCTTATACTGTACCGGATGCAGGCGTGCGGCCGGGTTGCATACTCGCACGGGGGGACCATAAGGCGCAACGGCGAGCTAGGGTAGGCAAGCCCGCCCGCACGGCAGCATGCGCTACATTACAAGTAAAATATAGGGGAAGGGGTCGAGGGGGAAATCACTTGCGAAATAGTTCGTACACCTTCACCCGAAATAGTGCGAAATAAAGGCGAAATAGAGCGAAATAGACCCGAAATAGACGAGAAATAGTCGGTGAAATAGTCGCGAAATACCCCTGAAATACTCCGAAATACCGCGAAATACCTTGAAATAATCCGAAATAGGCGAGAAATAACCGAAATGGCAGGAGAAATACTCGAGAAATACCAGAAATAGCCCGTACGCTACGGACTTAAGTGATTTCCCCCTCGGAAGGGGTCTGTGGACCACCGTGTATAACAATAATACTTACCACCGGGCAAGAAACTCATGAGGCCTCCGACGAAGGGATTGCTTTTTGGCCCAGGAATGGCGCTGTAGGGTTTGGCGTTGTCCCAGTCAACCGGCTTGTCGGTGGGTTCCGCAGCATACTGTGCATCAGCGTGTGCAGTGGATCTCAAACGAAGTGGAACCTATTTCAAAAAAGAACAAACAACAACGTTACTAATGATTCTTTGAAACAAAAAGACCAAACGTTCATACTTTTCAGACTATTTTTATTTCGGAGCTGCAAACCGCCGCCAGCAATAAGCAATTTGCCATACATAAAAATCCGTGTGCTTAGGCAACTCAAGGTGCACCGGCCCGCTCTGCCAGCTGCCAGCCGGACCGCTGGAACTGGAACGCGCAACGGACCGTCATATCGCTTGTTTTGGCGCTCTGCCGGCCGGCGATTGCCCAGTGATTGTTCCTATGCTCTGGGTGAAGGGTCGGTCGGGGCAGCTAGACGTGAGGCTGATCCGGCCTGCATCCGGCGCTGGCGGGGCTCGGTTTTAATGGAAGTGGGGGATCGAGACAGATCACAAAGAAGTTTTTCCCATTGATTTCTAGTGAGAGAGAGGGGGGGAGAG